AGGGGCGTTTTTTTTTTTGGACGTTTTTACTTTATTTATTATATATCATGTTCTTTGCACTTAACCATAAAATTAATTCAAGGAATAATTCAATTAAATAATAGTTTATAATTACTTTCGTTTCATACTTTGGCTAAAGCGCAGTTGCCATTCTATAAAATGCCTAAGTATTATATACTTGTATAATGCCTAGGTAAAGTATATAATAATTCTCATATATCATACTCTGCCTAAAAACGCCAGGCATTCTATAGAATGCCAGCATTTTATTCGTTGCCCGTAACATATACATATTAAAATATATTATATTCTTTATATATATGTGTTTAAAAATTAAAAAGGGCTAAAAGATTTTAATTTTTAAAATTGATAATGACATATGTGCTAGTGGAAGTACCAGATGAAAGTTAGGTCAGATTGAGATAAAAATTTAGATACACAAATAAACTAATATTCTGTCATTATATCAACAGCAATGGCACCCAGTTCTTAATGATTTTCGCCCTTCTAATTAAAAAGTCGTTAAAAGCTCAAGTTCCATCCACTATTTCACCTATATTCAACTTTGCTCGATTAAATGTGTCAAAATTGGATCATAATGGATCATAAATCAAAAACACACAAACACTCATTCTTCTGTATATATACAGATTTTGTAAAACTTACAAAGTTTTGATTAACAAACGCTACGATTTGAAAGCGAATAGTAGCAACAACTTTCGAAATAAAGCAGATTTTCATGCGCAGCGTGCGAAACTATTGCCACTCGGAAAAAATAAGGGCGAAAATGAGCGTTTCCAGAGTTTTAATTAATATCTCTGATTTTAGCATTTTTTTTTTTAAAAAGTGAACGTCGAACTTTTCCAGAACCCGGAAAAGAACTGTAGAAAGTTTGGTGAAGATAGCTTTAGTAGTGACTGAGTTATTAGCAAACAAACACACCCACAGACTATCTTCTTTACATAATATAGATATAAGAGCACTCTCTCAATATATGAGAGCTAAGAGTGCTTTATGTAAATTTTTGAGCAACTAAGAATGCTTTATATATATAAGAGCGCAACTAAGAATGCCAGAGTAATATTAATTCCGTAGTTGTCTTGATAATTCTTTACGGCGTAGATTCATAATACGCATGACGGAAAAGAAAAGCTTTCAGATGTGGCCGTTGATTTCAACACATAATTTTTATTTCTTAACCCTTTGTTGCATACAAATAATCTAGAGAAGTTAAACGAAAATGTTTGTATTTTTTCTACTTAAAATAACCTTAATGAAAAAAATTGATTTTTATTCAAATTTCGTTTTAAGTAATTGCTACAGTTTGTTCACTACAGTGGACAGCATGCATATACGTACATGCATACAAATCTCTTCCCAACGATTTACGATCATTGCATTTGAAATCATTTCCTGCCTTGTTTGCAGTGATCATTACCATCTTCTAAATGGTAAATCTACAACTGACATGTACATACAGACACCGAAAAATACTTCATTTCGTCGATTGTGATTGAATACATTTTGCTACGATTTTGTAACCTGTACCTATTGGATTCAAATGTTCTAGAAATTCTTTGCCAAACATAAACATTTCCAGTGGTGTTTTGGCTTCATAAGCGGTACATTTGGGTTTCAATTCGCTCTTTTCGGTAGATCTTTATCTACCCACTCCACAATTTTCTCAAACTGACATTTAAAATAAAAATACTAATTATGAATACAAAATGGCAGTATAGGAAATGTGAGCAATATTATACGTATAATGTTTAACTATCATAAATGGTACTAACTTGGAAACAGAAGTAGCAGCCATTTTCCAAATAGAAATGCTTTACTTAGTGTTGCTATACAGCCTTCTATGATCGATAGTTGAAAGTTCTAATAATATACTAGAATGAATGAACATAGGAATGGAATCTGTTAAGGCATTTATAGAAGAGAATAAACAAATTTAAACTTTTGTCTACTAGAGTGGACACGATGCAACAAAGGGTTAATAGAAAATCTAACGCATAACACTGTTAAATGGATTCACTCATTATCGTTTATGGGTGCGCTATTCACCAGATAGTTTTGTACAGCTTACATTTTCATAATAATGCAGAAGAACTAACAAAGGTTAATTGACACGCAGCCAAGCGCGCGGCTGCATGAACGTTTTCGTGCTTTTCCCCTTGCTTAACGTATATACGAGCCAGTTTCCCTTAGAACGTTTGTAAGATATATTTTAATTTTATAACCGTTATTTTAATTTTGGAACCTTTTCCTTTTAGTTCTTGTTTTTACTTACAAATCCCTACCAGAATGAGTTTTTAGAATCGCGTTGAATGCAAATGAGTTAGAAGAAGTATTTAAGGAAGGTTCGGCTCACTTCGACAGAGAGTACTGTAGCCTTACTGGTCCTTATTAGCGTGTGTTTGCCTTCCGGCTGAGTCACTCTTGAAGGTGTTACGCTCGGCCTATGTACGTACCTATTAATATTCGCCGGCTAGTTTAATTTAAGAGCCAACTACGTTAAATAATAGTGTGTAGCTTCGGCTAAGTCTAGTTTTGCTAATTTTAGTTTAGTTTCTGAGTTAAAACCCGAGTAGGGGCTTCCTGTAAGCCCGAGAAGGGGCCGACTTTTACTCTTATTTGAGTGAAATAAAGAGTATTTTAACCTTTCTCGAGTGTATGACTGAATTATTTTGAACTGGACGATAAGTGGCTACATAGTTTATTAGGTTCCTCGACGTTCAACTTAGACAAAGGGTGAGGGACTCTACAAGTTCTCCACGAAGGCATCCATCCTCTTAGGCAGATAGCTCTCGAGTGATTTGCCGTAATTAAATAAACCAAACCAAACTCAATTTTAATAAAAAATCCATTTCATTTCTTTCATTCTTAGATCAAGAAACTTAGAAAATGATGTTTAATGCCCCTAAAAATACGCTAAAAAGCATGTATTTTCATAATCCATCATTATTTTCGATTTCTAAAGTCAGCCTATTTATAAACACTGGAAGTTAATGTTAACAGTTTGATATCATCGATTGAAAAATCTATTATTATTTTCGGTTTCTAAACATATTCAAAAACACTGGAAGTTAAGCTTAAAAGTTTTGATATCATAGAGTAAAAAATCTATATTATTTTCGATTTCTAAAGTCATGATATTTAGAAACACTGGGAGTTAAAACTTTGACATCATCGATTAAAAAAATTCATCATTAATTTTTTATTTCTAAAGTCATCATATTTAGAAACACTGGAAGTTAAAGTTAAAAGTTTGATATCATCCATTAAAAAATCCATCATCATTTTAGATTTCTAAAGTCATCCTATTTAGAAACGCTCAAAGTTAAATTTAAAACTTTGACGTCATCGATTAAAGGGTATTCGTACACTGTGTATATGTTAAAAATATAATATATTCATGGCATCCATGCTGAGTAAATCTCAGCACCAACAATAACTATTTCCCGTTTCCATGTTTCATTCCCTTTTATGCGAGAAACGCATTTAAAGGTGATTTATTACCCGCATTTTAATATAACATCGCCGCAAGCTAAAGCGCGGAGAATTCACAAATTGGAGGAATACCATTCTGTAAAATGGTTCTGCGCTCCGAAATTGTGGAGGAAATATTTTAGTTGAAGGGAATGGGGGGGGAAGAATACAGTTTGCCTACAGCGCCTTAAGGAACGAGATCGGCGAAAAAAGATGAAGAAAGTAATCCTGAAGATGATGTACTTTTATGTCTTCCAGATGCTCTTCGGTAAAGGATTGATACAGAAAAGAAAAAGAGCGGGAAAGAGCACGCAGGGAGTGAGTTATGGTGATTGCCGCTCCAGCGTATGATCTGACGGTCATTTGGTCCCGGGTCTGTAATCCAGCTGCAGAATCCAGATACATAACTTCTGGTGGATTATGCCTTATCGCTACGGTTTTGCTTTCTCTTCTAACTCATTTATTGTCTTTTCAAATCGGACTTGCTCTGAGAGAAATGCTTCTATAAAATATGGCGAGTACGGTTTTGGAATCGCTGCTGTGGGCGATGTCTTGAAGAAAGCGGAAAAGGTTTCCTGGATGGAAGAAAACATAGCTTCAGTTCTGCATAACCTCGTAGGAAAAGAATGGAACTATAAATTCTCGAAATGGCTTCCTTAGAATGCGATGTTTTGGTTGGAGAGATTCAAAAGACTGAATTTTGTAATAGTTATTTCGGTCAATATGTGCATTTACTGGGAATGCAAAAGGTGATAATTTTCAAGATATTGTTCTACGACTGTATTAGATTTGCAGATAAGGTAATCCACTACATAAAGCTTACTTCTGACATTTAAATTTCAAAATGTATCTAGCAATGTAAAACAAATTGCGTGTTTTATCTTACATTCGTCTTAATATGATATATAAACAACAATTGAAAATTAAAATTAATAAACATAGAAATTTAAAAAAAAAAAAAAAAAAAAAAAAAAAAAAAAAAAAACGCACAAGAACATATTCTAAAACCTATCTTATATTTTTTTCATTTATCCTTACTAAAAAAACGTAAGGGTTTTAACTGTGCTATACAAAGCAAGTGCCGTAAGATCCTTCATTATCATTTTCATCATTAATACTAGAGTACGTGTTATTTTCTCTGTTACAAAAAAGGTATTTATAAGTAGTTACAAATTTGTTTTTTATTATTATTCCAAAGGAGCAGTTTGCCCAAAAGGACTATTAATTTCGTTTTGGTATTTTGCATTGATTCGCTATAAACGTTGACCACCAAATATTATCGCCCTGTATTAAATTTAAAGAAATTAAATTAATGAGGAATCTCCACAAATCTATGTTATGTTTCTCGCAGTGTGATAAAACAACGTTACCTACATCTGTCAAATTCTGAATAACGTACGTTTCCACCCTAATATGGGCATCCAGCAGCCCGAATTTGGAATTTGTTTTGTTATCTTGTAAAGATATTAGGATTTTTTTTGGAAGCAGAAGATGTGAAAAATGAGCAACGCCTTCGCCGGGAATCGAACCACAGGCCTCTCGAATATGCGTCGAGTGTGCTGACCACTACGCTACGAAGGCATGCTAAGAGGGCGGGAGAAATACCTTATATACTCCCCTTTTTGGGGGGAATAGGGGACAAAATCGCCAAATCCTGGTAGTGGAGAATTATCATCCACCACCCTTTTAGTTCGGGCGCCACTGTAGAGAGATTAGGTTTTTGAAGCAGGAGAGATGAAAAAATGAGCAATGTTCTCGCCGGATTCGAACCACGGACCTCTCGAATACACGCCAAGCGTGCAGACCACTACACCACGAAGGCAAGCTAAGAAGGCTGGATAAAGACCTTATAATCTATTTTATATTTTGTAAAACATTATGAATTTTTGATAACAAACTCGACGATTTCAAAGCGAGCAAGAACAACACTGTCCGAAAAAAAAAAGATTTTTGTTTCCAGCGAGCGAGACTGTGTATCGGAAATTCGGAAGATATGCTCATTTTAAAATTTCTTTGTGATATTGCTGTTAATTGAATTTTATGGTTTAAGTGTGAAGAACAGGATATTTAATAAATAAAGGTAACGAACAAAACGTGAAAAAAGTGCCCCTTTGGGAGTAATGTAAAATCAGAAAGTTTTTTGAATTTTTCCTCTTTTTCTTTTTTCCTTTTCTTTCTTTCTTTTTTTTTTTTTAATTTTATTTGCTAGGCAAAATGTTATAAAGAATTAAAACCTTACAACCAATATGACTAAGAACAAAAAGACCGAAGTCATCGATTAAAGAGCGTTCTACCTACTAAAAAGTAAAAGATAATACAATAACTGGAAGATAATACAATTCCGGAATGTTTGTGATTACTGTAATCCCTTATTTCGCATAGGAAAACAAAAGTATTTCTGATCGGTATTGCTTAAAGAAGAAATGTTGAATATATAGACGAATGAAAGATTTCGAAAACCAAACGATTCTGCTCCAGTTGTGTAATGCGTATAGCGTTAGAAATATTTTTATTAATAACCGTAATGTATGTTTACTTATGTCACGCAGATATATCATTAGTAAATATTTCATTTTATATTAATTACAGTAATGTATTTTAATGCATTTACTTAAATTTATATCAAACAAAAATAACATTATAAACTGTTAAAAAAGGGCATATATTGCTATTAAACAAATTTATTATATTCGAAAATAAAAAAAAATACGTTTTTCTGGTTGGAAAAACCATGAGAGCTTATTATGTGCAAAGAACGTAGAAGCTAAATTAAATACTAGGTTTTAAGCTGTGCTTGCTGTTTGTCCACACGAGTAGATAATATATCTGTGCAGCAGAACATAACGTAATATTACACGCCAAAAGTTTTGGAAAGATTTCACTAAGGATGTCACTTACATAAAAAGAAAAAAAACTTACAACTCAGTTTAAAAAGGAAATTTCAATTCTTTTTACTATTTCGGAATTTTCCAGTTTGTATTAGAAGTTATTATTATAGCTATGATTACCTTTGTATTTCATACGCTTGTTTATTTTTGTACAATGCGAAAAAAAAAAAAAAGGTTGGAGGGACAGTTCTATATCTCTCGTTCTACTGGATCGATTGACGAAATTCAAATTGCGTTTTTCATGTCTCGAAAGCGCGACTTAGCATATATATTAGAATTACACGTAGCATTGTTCTAACATAGGTATTTTGACACATTACCGGACTTTTTCTGAAATAACTTACCAATTTGTTGTTCCATATTTCGAATCTACTACTCAAATTATTCCTAAATCTTAAATTTTGTAAAATTTGGTCCGAATTTTACGGAGAGATTTACAAATTTATCTTGGCGTCTTTTGTTCCGTTTGCGCCAAGAATAATTCATTTAGCGAACTTCTTAATATATGGCAACACATTTTCCTTTCCCTTCCATTGTGAAGGACCGGGGAAAAAGTCACATCGTTCCTATCTTTTTACATTGTGCATGAGCGAAAAAAAGGTGACATCGTTCTCCTTCCAAATTATTTTGACAAAGTGCCTAAACCACATATGATGTTATTATCGCTTTTAACGAATATGGCACATTTCAAAACGCGCCAATATATAAATTCACGTATATCATCGGAAATTTTGAATAAAAAATTAAAATTTTTATATTATAATTAAAAATTTTTTGAAAAATTATTTAAAAATACAAATTTTAAAAATAAATCATAAAAAATAGGCGAATTTTATTTGGAATGAACCTAAGTTTCGAAATATCGAAGGAACAATCAAGTTTAATAAAAAAAAGAGACATTAATAAATATATACCAGACTCAATTAACATGGAGGAGCTAAAAGTTTGAGAGCTAATTTTTTAAAATCTACTTGAGCGATTTTTATAAAACTTGGTAGTTTGGCTTAATGTGAATGGTAGAATTGAAATATGGAAAAACATTGGCGTGTCATTTCAGAAAGAGTCGGAGTTTGTGTCAAAATACCTATATTAGAACAGGTTACAGCCGAAAACATCGCGGCAAAAACATCGCGGACGAAAACGTCGCGGAGAAAACAACGCAAGGCAAAAACGACGTGCTACAAAACATCGTGGGAGAAAACATCGCAAAGAGAAAACATCGCAGCTCTAAAACATCGTGGTACAAAACATCGTCGTCGAAAATAAAGCGGTTCAAAAACTTCGCAGTTTAAAATTATCGTCGTCGAAAATATCGTGGTAAAAAATAAAGTGTCTACAAATCCTCGCATGTGTGTGTGTGTGTAATTATGGCAAAGCCTCGAGGGCTATCTGCCTAAGGGGAGGGATGCCTTCGTGGAGGACTTTCTAAGGGAAACTGGCTCGTATGCACGTTACACATGGGGAAAACCACGAAAACACCCATTCAGCCAGCCCGTTCGCGGGATTCAAACCTCGGACCGAACTACCAGTGTTCAGCGACTTTACCGCTAGGCCGCTGGTGGGCCCCAAATCATCGCATGACGATGACATGACAGACATGCTTTTTTCAGGTTTTAATGACTGTAAATGGATATTCCCATTATGATTTGTGAGCGCAAGATGTGAAGAAGGATAATTTTTACTTTCACACTTTTTTATAAACTAATAAATTTTTGCTGAGAAAATAAGCATAGAAAATTAATGCAACTTATAGCACTTAATAGAATTTTAAACCGACATAGTTAACTAAAAAAGGCCATTAATAAATTATTTTTTATAAAGTTTTTACTGGTAATTTTCATGAAAAGTATAATCTATAAGTTGCATTTAATTTTCTATGCTTAAGTTTCCTTCTTACTTTTTAAGCAAAAATTTATTAATTAATAAAAAATGTAAAAGTAAAAAATTATCCTTCTTCACATCTTGCGCTCACAAATCGTTATGGGAATATCCATTTACAATTATTAAAACCTGAAAAAGGCATGTCTGCGATGTTATCGTCATGCGATGATTTGTAAACACTTTATTTTTTGCCACGATATTTTCGACGACGATGTTTAAACTGCGAAGCTTTTGAACCGCTTTATTTTCGACGACGATGTTTTGTACCACGATGTTTAAGAACTGCGATGTTTTCTCTTTGCGATGTTTTCTCCCACGATGTTTTGTAGCACGACGTTTTTGCCTTGCGTTGTTTTCTCCGCGACGTTTTCGTCCGCGATGTTTTTGCCGCGATGTTATCGGCGGACACCATTAGAACAATGCTGTATATAAATCTAATACATATCCTAAGTCGCGCTTTCGAGACATGAAAAAGGCAAATTGAATTTCGTTAATCGGCCCAGTAGAACGGGAAAAATAGAACTGCACCAATTATTATTATTATTATTATTATTTATTATTATTATTATTATTATTATTTTGCTCAGTGTGTATGAATTTTGATTGACTTTATTGACTCTCTTAATAATGCTAACTTTTATCTTTGTTCACAGTTACTTTAGTTAACATTTATACAGGTTATCACGCTGTATTTTGCGCTCAGTTTTCATTTCTAAAAATTTGGTTTATATTGCTTTATGAAGGCATGCACAGACATGATACTTTTAATTGGTGTCTACTGTTGATTTCTTTATGGCAGAAAAGTTCGAATATCTTTCGATCCTGGAACAAGCAGTTGAAAACAACCTCCATTAAGAAGTAACTAGTTATTTTATTTCGTTTTATCACACTCATTTAATGTTAGGTCATCAAGTACATGTCTGCTGTCCGAAAATAGGCACGCATGCAACAACAATTTTGTTGTTCATACAGTAATTTTCCCGCTCTTTTCAGCCAAGTGTAATATAATTGTTGCCCTTCAGAAAAATTGCTTCTAGAAAAGAAACAACAAAGTATTAAAAAAAAGGTTGCTATTTGTGATTTGATTGAAACATTAAGAAAGCATGTGGGAAAAAGCAATCTTAAGAAATTAAGCTTTTCTTTCTTTTTTGCTTCCCTTTTCTACTTTTGTACGAAGTAAATTAAGAACTGTAATCGCGAAAAATTTTGGGTGTCATATTTCATCAACAATATCCATTTCAACGGCTCTCAATACCAATGAAACGAGGTTTTTGCGTGACATCTGTATGTAAGGATAGAACAAAGAATGTTTTTGCCAAAAATGATTGTGAAATGAATTCAGAAAAGACTTTTTTTTTTTTCTTGACGTCTGTCTTTACGAATGTGTGTATCTTGCATTACTCAAGAACGAGTAACCGTAGAACTTTCGAATTTTGTATATGAGACTGCTATAACACTTAGTTGTGAACCTCACGTTTTCGTTGCAATAAAAAGGACAATAAAATAAAAGAATTACAATTTGAAGTGCAAATAAATTCTAATTTACGAATTCGTAACTTTTAAATAATATTTAAAAATGTTTAAATTTAACAAAATTTTGGGAATTTTTTTATAAGTATTAAAATCAGATGGAAAACTTTCTTTACTAGCAATGGCTAATAGTACTTTAGTACTTGATATGCATAAAATTGGGACGCAGAAATTGTTAATAACAATTATTGCCATAAAAAGCCACTATAGCCACACACATACACACACGTGTAGGTAAATTGTTAATTTTCGGTTTTATAAGTGATTGAATTATGTAGTTTT